GCTTTTAACTGATTTTAATCTGAACTGTTTGCATTCCAAGATTCAAGATAAAGCTCCTTTTGAAACTGTAGAAAAACAACATGCTTTTTCATTCAAAAAGTAAAAGTCTATTTTTCCACCCTGACAATACTAAAAGAATGGAAGAGAATCTGTCCAGGGTACAGAAACACACTCCTTTTGCAAACACTAGTTCAAAATGATAGATCCTTTAAAAGCAGAGCTGGCAAAGCAGTTCACTAGAGAGCTTTTCATCCACTTCAGCGCAAAGTCACCTCTCTTAGCGTAACACATGGTCAGAGTGGTTTGGGTAACCGGGCTCGCTTTGCGCTGAAGCGCATTAGGAAATGCTTCTGTAATTAGCTCCTCCAGCTGACCTGTGACTGACAACTCCAGCTACCAGCTAAAAACAAAAAGAAGGAAGCAGTAATGTTTTCAGCTCCCCTGGCTGGATCTTGAAGACAAACATCTGCCTAAGCATTATTTCCAAATGTCAGTAGCCCCCACTCTTTTTTTAAATAGAGCCCTGGGCATGTGAAAACTAGTTATGTTTTCACTTAAACTGTACATTACAAGCTAGGATACAGATTTTTTTGACTGTGACATGCAATAATTTCAACAAAATCAAAGTACCAAAGCTGGGTGCACTGTGCAAAGTCATGTCCCGAATCACTCGAGTGCCAAAACAGGACCACATCAGGAGGAATTGCTGAGCTACTTTCTTCAAAGAGCCTTGTCTCTTGGCAGCTACCTGCAAGAAAACAGATATATCTGACATGGAGAAACTTTCATTTCTACCACTCGATACAGCTGAATGATGCGCATACCTGCCTTCTTTTTTTATACTGAAAAACTACTTGCCATTATCTTCATATTAAAATATATATTAAAAATTAAAAAACAACAACAACAACAAAAAAACAAACAACAACAACAAAAACATGAAACAACCTTACACAGAAAACCACCTTGTAACCATATACAACCTTCAGAAAGAGGAACTCGCAAAGTATTATTCAACAATAAGATTGAATTTCCTTCATAAACTATGAAAGGACTGCCAAAAAACTGCCCTGCTCTTCATCTTAATCTAATTACTTACATGTTCATTCTTGCTTTCTAGTCAGGGAAGCAATTTATAATCAAGAACACTTGATCTACACTGAAAATTTATATTAATATTTCAATTTAAGTTTACTACTGAATGTAAATTTTTTGGTTCCTTCATGTTTTTATTTTTGTGAATTCACATAGTAATTTTACTAGGAAAAATACTTTCCAGAAAGTGCAACTTAGGCATCAACTCTTCAAAAACTTATTTACTATAGCCATGTATGAGTTAAAGAATTAGGTTCATACAATCATCTAACTAAATTCAAGTCAAGTTCTTCACAAAAATTAACAGTTATGGTCTGAATTTCAAATTGCATTCCACTGACTAAAATAAAAGTTTCCCAAAACAATAAAAATATTTCAAGTAATCTGGGGAAGTATCTATTGTTTTCTGTATGGATTTTTTGCAGCAGAGAGAGAGGCAGCATTTTTTTTTTTTTTTTAATTTCTTAGCTCTAACAACTGGAATGAAGAGTTGAAATTCTAACAGAACATCCTAATACAAAGTATAGTTAGTGATCAAAGTTAGAATAGTCAGTCATAGAGTTTCATACTCTATGTAAAATTACGGTGATGCCTGATCACTTTTCAAAATATTTTTTAAAGATTTGTTAGTTAGGTTTCTGCATGCACTTAAATTGAAAAAAAAATACAAGTCCCTGGTATCCCAAAGCAGTTCAAAAGGCAACATAAATGTGTCCTTGACTGAATAGTAATGTAGACTTTCATCCTTACATTTGAATATGTATGTAAATGAATTAGCTAGCCTAAATATCCTTTTCATTAAAATCTTAAAAGGCCAGATTAAATTATGCTTTTGTTTGTACTATGTTGTTAGGATGACTCAGAACTCATCTCTCTGTACCCCTGAAATATTGATTTGATTGGAAACCTCAACCTTGTTCCATTATTGAATACCATCTTTTGGGACAGAATAGACAAGAGCAGAATAAAGCAGAATTCTATTCTGAATGTGAGCAGTTCTCCATGAAAACTGGTGACATTTTGCCCACTGCTGCTTTACTCCTGCTTATTACCAATGCCTGTTTTGTTGATTTTTTTTTCTATTTTTGCTAAAAATCTATGACCTGAATAAAGTTCATAACGCACATCAGTGTCTCAGGTCCTTAGCCCCACTGACCAACCTTTACAACACATCTGTCCACCATGGAATCCAGCCACTCGACGTATGACTCAATAGGGGACTGCTCCTCCAGAAGGTGATCAAATTCCTGATACACTGGCAGACAAAGGAAAAATATCCCATCTCAGTACTTGGATTCGATTTTGAACAAAAGAGAAACAAATCACAAAAACCTGCCAATAACATCACACGTTTACTGTGGGTTTTTATAATACATTTCTTAGCTGTTACAAATATATCTTTCTTGGTGCTGACCCAGTAAGTTTGCTTGGTCCCATATCTTGTTTCTACTGAAAGTGATGGAATCATTGGAAGTGGTATTTTAATGTGAGCAAATCAGGACCCATTGTTTAAAATTAATCTTTTGATTTAAGCTTCACTGTCTGGAGTGCCCGGAAGTGAAACATTTATGTTGTTCTCCATGAAGAGTGTGAAGCTAGGCCTTGACCCTGCTCATGAAAAAAGGTCATGCATGAAATTGATTTAGAAGTGCATAAAGAATCTTTTAAGGACCAAGTGGATGAGTATTGTTGATAGGGATCTCATCTGTAAAATGCTTTAGTTGCAAAAACATGATTTAACTGCTGCAAATCATCTATTTGCAATGCCAGACACACACACAAAGAATTTCCATAAACTTCTACTTCTTCGAACCAAATTGCTACCAATGCACAAATGCTATACTTCACTTATCAAGAAGAATTTCAAAAAGCAACCTGTATACTTTTTAACATCTCCCAAGTACACATACCAGTAATTTAATACAGAAAGTAAAAACAATCAAGTCATCCAACTGCAGCTCTTAAAATCGCAAGCTTCTAGTTTATTTGTGAGAATCAATGGTTGAAAGACAAAGAATCATGTGCTTTGACACCTTAAGAAATTACTCTTCAAGTCAGCTAAAATAAAAGGTCTGGTAAATCAAGAAGGAAGATACTTCCTACCTGATGTTTTACAGGATGATCTCAATGCGCTACGCATTTTCATTTGTGCTTAATTATAAATAACAGGAGGAAGGAATTTCCCACCGTAGGAAAGATAATGAGAGAGGCGGAGGAGGCAAAGCTTACAGATGATAGCCAGAGAAGTGAGTCAGAGAGGCAATTTGATAACAATGCAAAGAACAAGCTCCCTGGTCTCTAAGTTGGTCAGGAATGCATTTGCTTCACACCCAAGTACAATTTTGTTTAACTTAGACTTGCAAAGGCTGGATGGTCAGAAACATTAGTTGAGGAAGAAGGGAAATAATGATGTTTGGCCGTGCTTATCTTGTTTCATTGTTCTATTGAATGGGCAACCTCCCTTTATTCAGAACAGGATCACAGAGAAATCTAGATGTTGTCTCCTTACCTGAGTATTTGGCTGGACAAAAACTGCCTGATACAACAGATGAAGTAATTCATATGCTGTGCAAAGAGGGGAGCAAGAGTGGAAAAACAAATCAGTTGCCTGCTTTGCTGCTGGAGCAATGCAACCGTGTACAATGACCTATTTGAGAAAAGTAATTGTTTAGCCTTTAGTGACTGTTAAAAATACCTCAACAGGATCTGAGAAAGAGGGAATAAAGAAGAAACCATGTCAGAGACAGCTACCATAGCAGAGCAGGAAGGAAGTTCTCTTATACCCAGTGATTTTTCTCCATTTGTCTCTAGGTTTGCTTATAAGATTATAAACAATTTTTTTTTCCACTTATAGTGGCTGGAAATCGTACTTTCTTGATTATTAATACTAAGAATGTGAGAGCAGGCCTTAATTACATGTCATATGAGTCATACAGAGTGTGATCTTTGAAAGATCTTTGGCCAAGTAGAATAAATCTCAAAGATGGGGGGAGGATTGGAAATCTAAATTCTAGAATAGTCTCTATACATATCTACACATCTCAGTGGAATCCCATGTCATGATGAACATTTGTATTAGGTTACCATTTCTGAGTAATTGTTTATTGGACTGTATGGGTCTAAAATATGGAAAAATAGGTGTTCAAATCCATTAGCATTCAGGAAAATTCCATTTGATTTTATTACAATTATTACATTTTATTATTATATTTAAATAGTTTGCATATATAAAAAAACTTTCCTAAACAGCAAGGATTTTCTGAATAAGAGTCAAAACTGTCGCTGCTGCTAGGGATTATAACTTTGAGAACTCTCTTTTTTGCCAGTGGGAGGATGTTGGGTAGATATTGAAAACATAACAGATGACAGAAGGATGCACGCAGCTTCTGGACTCCAGTCTCACTATATGCTACCTCCCCAGCTGTTCCCCAGAAAGGTCAAGTTTCTCTCTCCTCAAAAGGGAAGAGGGCCATGTCAGGAAATGAATCAAGGGCTAAGAAAGAGAGGAAAGACTACCAACCACCTCTCACTGGAAAACAGAGCTAACAGAGAATGCAAGGCCCAACCCTAAACTGGGGAGAAGACTTCTAGTGTTAACATGGTGGGATGAGTGCCAAAGCCAACCTTGCAGGGTCCAGTGTACATGTGAAGGTGTCACCCCTCCTCTTCCCAGCCATTCACTGAAAGAGTTATCCCACTAGCAAACCTACCCTTGCAGGGCTCCCACAGTGGTTGGCTGGGTTGCTCCCCATTAAGGCTGGTTCTGGATAAAAGATGACTGGTCCTCCTCAGGAGAGAGATGGCAACAGAACAGGTGGGTTCACAGGGAAGTGAGGTTATCAACAATGCTAAAGACAAAGCTGGCCACCTCTGGTGCCTCAGAGGGACAAAATCAGTGTGCTTAGGGTTACACCTAAGCTAGCAACTACGCATGCTTGCTGGACAACGCAAATTAAAACCAATTTGCCAACACCTCCGAAGTAATTTTTCGGTTCATGCTCTTCACTATACTAGGCAGAACATAAATTAGTCAATGAGTTTGCTCGATACGGGTCTTCTACATACTCATAAAAGTTCAAGGTGAAAGCTTACCCCATCAAATGATCTTGTTTATGAAAACACTGTGTAAAATGGAACTTTTTATAAATAAAATTTACAAGGGACTCAAATACACAGCCACTTTAGTGTTAAAACCATTTAAAAGACAACTCTCTTGCAAATCTACAGCAGGAGAGATTGGACTATCAGATTCAATGGTTAACTCAGGCTTAGTTTGCTCAAGTTCCTGGAAAAAATCCTCCTCAATTTGGGTGCAAGTTTTGTGTCATTGGCTATTGTGGATACCGGAAAGAAACTTGTTAATGGAAGAGTGCCCAGATCTATGCCTCAAAACACAAGACCTTGACAGGGCTTTGCCTCACATTTTGATATATGTCTCTATATTTATCTTAAGCCTCCAAGCAAACCACTGACTGTGAAAACAGTGTTACTTTCATTGAGCTTTGTTTCCAGCAGGAAACCAAGTTCACTTGGCTTTATTTGAGGGTGCTGCTCTTACATTGTATGATGAGCTTTCTGTGTTCCTCCCGTGAGTCTTCCATAGTATAGAGGGTTTGTTTGGTAATGCTATTCAGATCCACATTCCTCCAGTCCTCCAGCATTTGAAATGTGATGTCTGCACTGTGGATCACTGTTCTTGATGCCTGTAATCCAATCCAATCTATTCATTAGTTCATGGTTTATTAGGTTAAAAAATAGGCTTTATCCCCTTTTACGCGTCCTTAGCTAGGCTCACTAAGTTGATTCTCCTCACGGACCCCCACCCACCAGTTTGATGTCTTATGGGCCCTACAGGGCCCTCTAACCACAGAGAACTCCCAAGTCATTTTGCCTACTTTAATCAACCGCAAGTATTTTGATTGCATCCACCATAAACCCTGATCAGACACCTTAATCTGGTAGTGTTGTTGCTAGGCTCCTCGATCTCTAACAGCTCTGTTGGTTTTCTTGACTAGCTTCAGTTCAAAACCAAAAAGCAACAAGAAAAGTCAAGCCAGAACCTAACAAACCCCACTCAGGCTTGCACCCTCCCCTCTTCCAAACTATGAAGACTCTCATTCTTCCCTCAGCCACATTAAAAGGTTAAAGCTCATTTGCCTCCACATCACATCTGCTTCTTAGCTGGTTGAGACAAGGTCTGCTGTTGATAATGGGGAGGATGGGCTGAGAGGAAAGGAAGTGACACAAGGTCATGGTCATATAACATACATCAGATCTCTGTAAGTTAAGCAGGGATGGTAACCCACACTGAAGTTATCAGCTTCCCCAAGGAAATGATATGAAGAGTCCTTCATGTAAGTAAACTGTTTGATCATAGGTCTGATGCAGAAGGTTGTTGCCTCTGTATCTTGATTTCCTCTGAATCCCTATGGAACTTCAAAGTTCAGTAACAATCCACCATGTTTGGGGACAGGCAGCACTAGTATCTCTGCCTGCACCATTAAAATAACGGAGGAAGAAATCTACAAAGAAGTCCTTGAAGGGGTGGGTTTGTTTCCCTCAGAGCCTCTTCCTGTGTGCTTCACCACTCACAGGCTTAACCTGAGGTGTTGGACACACCTTCCAAAAGTGGAGCTTTCAGTGCGACAGGGAAAACAAACTGTCTGCTCCAATACATGGGTGAAATGTTAACGAATTCAATGCATTCCCCCCCTTTTTATATCACACAGAATTTGGCCTCGTGACTTTTTGATAGGTAATTGTGATCTAAACTAACTGGTGAAAATCAAACACTTCAGAGTAGTTTTTATATTCACTTGCTTTGGTTGCAAGAATAATTCTATTTAAAAGCCCAGTAGTTCAACTGTTTTGGTTTTTACTATTTTGCATTTGATTTATAGTATACAATAACACTTGGAATTTATTGTCAGGCATATAGAATTTTTTTCTTGCTTTGCAATAGGCCTAATACAAACTGCTCTGAAATCAATGGAATGTCTCTCATTTATTTCCTGGAAATGAACTATCTCTTCAAATCAAACAATAATTTTGTTTCATAAAAGTATCCTGCTAAATGTAATGATTAGGGCTTGCTAGTTATCTAGAAAAGCATTTTTTGCCGATTCCTTTTTGATTTTGTAAAGATGGTCACAATAAATATTGGAGACAAACTGCTAACATGATCTCTTCTTCTTTGAGTACAGTCCAGCCTGCCAATTCACAAAATTGCTTGAAAAGTCAGTAAAAATGGCATTCAGCAAACTTGGGTAACTGAAATATTTACTTGGCAGAGATGATTTAGTGATGTCTGTCGCCGGAGTATTTGTGAGAATCTTCTGGACACTGCAGGGAAAAAGAGAGACATATTTACATACTGTGCTAAATAAAGAAAATTACTTCTGAAAATACTAAATGAAAAAAAGAACCAAAAAATATATCCAGTTTCCTATATAAAATTGTGGCTACATAAAGTTCATTCAAATAGCCCAGTTTTAAATGGGCTTTAGTTTAAACCTTGACCTAAACCCTTAAATTTGGATGCTCAATCAGTTTTACAGAGGCATATTACAAGCAATGATTTATAGATGCTGTAAATAATGAAATGACAGGAGAAATGTAGAGGACAATGGAAGAGCTTTGCTTGTTCAGCATAGCAAATCTTCTCTTGATACACAAATGAACTGAAGACCAGAAAGAACTATTTAATAGAAAGAAAAATGTTGGTGCAAGACCAAGTGGGCATAAAATAATGATAGCTACATTATGTGTGGAAATTAGGAAAGGTTGTTAAGTCTTAATGCAAACAATTTTTGGAGGAGTCTTTTGACTGGACTAGTAGGAGCTAAAATCTAATACAATTTCAGGTAGAATTTGATCAAAGTTTCTGAAAGACATTACATGATGTACCCATATGCTATGGAGTAAGATGGCCCAGGAGGTACTTGCCAACTCTCTGCTCCTATTTTAGCTCTTTCCACATGACAGAGACCTTGTATTAAGATATTTCCTATACTTGGAAAATTAACTTTTAAAATGCTGTATTGTGAATTTTTTGTCTGGAATCTGTGACTCAGAAACTGCAAACATGCCCAAGGCTTGCAGTTACTCCTGTCAGTACTTCCATCGGCTGTGTACACTATCATAAATTCTGATGAGGAGGAAGCAACTGTAGAAGCAACAAAGGCTCACGTAAAAGGTTGGATGCATTCAAGTTTTTCCTTATACTAAAATCACCAAAGACTTGCAGATCTATCCAAACAGGCCTTAAACATGGCCACAGAGTAGGTTTTCCCTCCATACTGTACATAGAGGCAGTTTTCAATACAGATTGAGGATGACTAGAAAGTTCATTGTCCGTCTCTTTCTCTCTCCCTTTTCTGATCCTGTAAGATCAGAAAAGATTTTGCTGTTGCAGATTCTTGATATTTTTGAACTGACAAAGAGGTGATGCAGCATACTCTCAGCTCTGACTTTGTGTAACTTTTAAAATCAACTAATATACAATGCAAAAAAACTTAAAATTACTTGTTCCAACTTACATCCTGACCGTTCTCAGTAAATACACACCTATTTTTCCATGCTGATCAAAATAGTTAATCCTTCTCCTAAATTAGTTTTTTTTTTTTCTTTTAACTTTGTGGTGTGGAATTTAGTGCTCATGAAAGGCAAAGAATTGAGAGCCGTGAAATAAAGCAGGCTTTATCAATAGGTGATGTGCACTGCAGGCATCTACAAAGCACGTCTGAAAAGGACTAGTGCCCTTTCCTGTGGTGACAGGGTAATTTGATCTCCTTCATTTTTAACTCTGGCACTTTTTTGAGCAAGGGCCTCAAGCTGTATTCAAATCGTGCTAGCCTAAAGGTTTGTTTAATAATTTCCTTTGCCTAACATTATCCCTAATGTTTGCTTACTATCAACAAAATTAATTTCTTATCAGAATCCACAGAAAGGCAAAGCAATTCTTCTCATTTTGAGCAGTGCCTCACTTCACTAAATGAAATTGATTCTCATCAACAAGTGAAGACTGTAAGTGAATATAAGATTTATAATGCCAACAGGTTTCAATTCCTAAAAGAACACTAGTCTCACTTCCAATTAATTTGTAATCAATGAATACTATATACACACCAGGTTAATAGGAGAGAGTCTGGGCAATACGTACATTCAAATTTGATATTTCGCAGGTTTTCTGGTAAATCGTGGAGAGCTACTTTCAGCCACTCATCCAGCTGCTTTGCAAACTTTCGAATCACCTGTGTCAAACTGAAAAGAGAAATCACTACATCAGAACAAGTTTACTCTGTGCTTTATACTATAAAATCTGTGAACATGTGAAGACTACAAGTAAAGTTATTTACAATTCACTATTATGCAGAGTTGCTGACATATTTTGGTTTGTAGGCATGAAGAAAAACTTCTGAAAATGTTTGCAGGAAAACAAATCGGAATGTTCAAAACATCACAAAGAATGAAAGTCTCTGTACAGCACTGCTTTGACACTTACAAACAGTATTCTTAGCTTGAAACAAAATCATTCCCACTCTGTACAAACATAAAAACATAAAATCACAACTGTTTAAAGAAGGCAATAGATCAAGCGTTGACTTCGGCTCAGCTGTGCCCGCATTTATACAGATTTACACAGGCATGTGCAAGTGAAGCAACAACCAACTATGCTGCAGGACTGGAGCTAGTGAGTGGATGATGATGGTGGGGAGGAATTTCCAGGCCAAGCCCACACAGGTGGGGGAAGTAGGGGCAGAAGAGGACCTGCCTGCTTAGCTCTGCACCCGACAGAAACTTTGCCAGACAAGTGAGATTTCTCTCTTCTCCCTTACTACCGTTTCCTGATGCCTCCATCATTTCCTGCGAAACTCCATAGGTAGCTCATTCTGCCCTTCTTCTTGGAATTGCTCAGTATAAAATGACAGTTTCCAGGAAAAGTTGCAGGGTGTTGTGCAGAGGACCCTACCAGTTGGCTCTGCCAGACAGAGCTGTGCTGCCTGTAGCAATGTGTGCAGGTACACAAATGAGAGGGAGAGGAAAGATGCAAGGATCTTTCCCTCTTTCAGCCAGGCAGCTTTCGCTGTTTGTACTCCTGACACACTGCACTCAGAATAGAGCTGGTAAAATAAACATGGCCATAGGCGTGCTCTGCTCCACGCAGACACCTAGCAGGACAGGGGATGGATGACAACTGCTGCACCCATTGAAAAATGGCTTTTCTGGACAGCCAACATTCGTTCCCAGGAAGTCCCTCAGAGGATTCTGGCTGAGTCAGCAAGATTTCCTTCAGGAGCTTCCATTGCAATGAGACCCTTCTTCACCCCCTCCAGTGCAGGCTATGGCTTAATAGCCACAATCTGGCCCTTTATATGCATTACAAAAGTCTATATTCACACTCAAGTCTCTCCTTATTTGCTATGAAAGAACTAAGCAGCTTGAGAAAAGGACTGCTGTTCTGTTTAATCCTTCCACTGAAATAGATTTGGGGGGTGAGGGGCAAAGCCTGTAAAAATGTACATGTCTTATCAAGGAAAGCCCATGCACATAACAGGTTTCTTGTGGAAAAAATACTTTACCTATACTTTAGCAGTCACACAGTGCACATAGGAGAACAGAACATTTTGAAAACAGTTGCCATAATTAAGGCCACTTTAAAATCTTGAGGGCCTAACGTATAGCACCAATAATAAACTCCTAAAGCAATATTCTTAACAAATTACTCCCCCTCAGGAAAGCATCAGTCAAATAACACTATAGACATACACAAATATTTAGAAAAAGTGAGTTTCCTGATGCTCATATTAGGAAAATCAAAGTGGGGAACAGGTTGACTGCACTCAGTGATCAGCTGTGAACTGATCTCTGTCCTGTGTTACCTATATAAACAAGACTTCTTGGACTCAGATGAGCTCCAGGCAGGAAGGGAACAGCTGATATCTACCACATGGAATGGAAAAGTGAATTTAGCTTTGAAACTAAGGAGGCAAATACCTGGTGATATTAATAAAGTGATCCTAAAATAAGCATGCATCTGTTCTTCACAGGATAGTATTTAAATTAAACCAGCTTGTTCAAGACTTCACAAGTATGATCTTCATGTTTTATACTCCTGGCAAGCGTAATAAGAATTGGGTTCCAATAGTGTGAACAGAGACAAACACTTAGGTTGCAGTGTCTGAATATGTATGTGAATATTTACAAACAGAGCAGCCAGGCCAGCTTCTCCTGTCACTATAACGCAGAATACTGTTATGCTGTTATCCCAGAGTAGTCGAAAAGTGTCTGAAATTTTCAGAAGACAGTGCAGTTATCTGCGTCCCACAGATTTCTGACATTACATGAAAGTTGAGACTTGACTATCAGCTCCATGTTAGTAAGACAAAAAGAAGGTGGTATCTTTTATCACGTCAAAAATAACAAGTTTTTCACAATACAAGTCTTGTTAAAATCTGAACATTTCTTCAGGAACACGTCAGCTCTTCAACTCCTTTGAATTAACACTGTGATTTAAACTCAGGAAACACGTGGCAGCAAGCAGCCTTCTGAAAGCTGATGCGATTGATGAAGAAAAGACGTGTTGTGGAGATAAAAGTGGTCAGTGCTGCTAGCTATACTGACCTGTCAGGTAATGCTTGTAGTACTGTTGGCATCAAAACTCCGGAAATTGCTTTATACAGAATTGAATCACAAACTCCCACTATATTCACTACAGTTGAAGAACCCAATACAGGCAGCATATGAGGAGGCATCCCTTGCCAAAAGTGCAGAAGAAAACTTTGAACCTGTAATCACAAGAAGAATCAGGAATATTTAAGTGAAAATAATCAGAGGCCACAAATATCATCTTCCTCAAATGACCCTGCTTATATAGCACTTTTTTCAGCCCTAGAGCTGGGCTGATGGTGTACAACACAGGCAAGACGCATTCCTTAACTAGACAGGCTTGTACCACAACGCAGCACACAATGCGATAATCAACCAAAGGGCGAGAAGACACTCTGAGCTGGTGACAGAGTGTCTTCGTGTTACTCAGCAGAGACACCCATGGGAACCACCGTATTTTTACCTTCCATTAGTGGTTGGTGAGTGCAACTCTTTGGCTTCCACATGTCAAGCCTTTTTCTCTGTATATATACAAAGGAACGCAATCTAGGGCTTGGAGTAGGAAGGGAGAGAAGGATAGCACATGGCTTACAGGGGTCAATATACCATTTTCTGTCTTCGTTTTGGAAAGAAACGCTACACTTTTGGATTTCTTCTTTCCTCCACTATGAAGGAAAGAGGAGAAAGAATGGAGAAAGACAAAAAGAAAATGGGGAGGAGATTTCAGACAGAGCAAAATATACTTCCGAAAACTTTAATTTAGGAAATAAAGGTGTTATTCAGTGAATGTGACCAGTTCTACGGGCGTCAGAACACCGGCATTCACAAGTCATAACTTTCTGCACACGATCTGTACTGAAATAAGTAACCACATCAGATGCAGTATAGAATATTCACCATTTATATATAGTTGCTGCTCAGCCCCTTCCCCACCACTGATTCTGACAAACAGATTCCTTAACAAAATATAACATCCTGCCCTTACGAAAGTATTCTGAGACTTGTCCAGCAAAACTACCTGAATACGTGTCACATATTTCTCTCACATGGAAACATCTAAACTGGGTACAATGACTTAAACGAGCCTCAGCTTTAAACCAGAAGAGTGTGAGAATTAAACAGTGAGAGGAACAAAAGCAGGGAATCTTGCCATTGTTCAGAAGGCAGGGTCAAAACACCGTTTTCCTTGGATTTTTTCCAGGATCTGGGTATCATATTTGAATCAGGCCCCCAGCATCACTATTGCCAGGTTTGTTTTCCTGGACTAGAGGCCTTCTCCACATGTAATGTAGAACTGGTGGCATTCCAATAATGTTTTATTTTTCAGCTCTCATTATAGACCTGTAATCATGCACTGCCAGAAAACCCTCAGATTCAGTCAGATATGCAGCAGGTACAAACCTTATCCATCTCTAATGGATTGTATCAACTGCTGAGCAGTGTGTGTGTTCCTAGCTGCACTGCAGTACAACTCAGCAATTGGGGACTTCAGCTACAGCTTTCTGGGATGTCTGGGAGGCTGTAGGCCCCCCACTGCCCTTGTTAATAGACCAGCAGAGCCCACATTTTGGCTGTGGCAACTGCCCTGTGTTTGTGCTGAACTCTCAGAGGAATTCCTTCAAACAGAGCTCAGTTGCAACTCAAAAATTAGAAAAGCAGTGGTGGACACACTTCTTGAGTTGCAAGAACTGGATTGTGCAACATCTTGTAAGGGGATATTGCTACCTTAATCTTGCTGGAGAATGGAGAGACAAAGACATTCTCATTGCTTTTGTTCCTCTAACTCACACAGTGTTACAAAATGAAATTTAACACTATCGGTCACATATTATGTACTCAAGTATAGTTATTGTTCACTATTAATGAAAAGGATCGGCCACCACAAAACCATAAGTTTGTAATATCACATTCAAAATAAGCTCTCAGATCCATTAATACCTTATGTATCATTAAACTACAACTATAGTTTCCAACCATACCTCATCAAAGTTTGCTCTTATTACAGTGTCTAGTATCCTCTGACAGTGAGTTCTATACATCATAATAAAGGTAGAAACCTGAAAAAGAATGAGAGGGAGACACACAAAAGATCGTTCTATTTTAACAAATCTGCTTTTAAAACTATCAGAATATAGAGCACAAAAAAGTAAGTTTTTCTTATCTTACCTATGCACAATTGCAAAAATAATGAAATCGGTTAGAGTCTAGCTAGATTAGCTATAAGATGAGTTTTCTTCTTAAAAGTAAATTCTCTCTTTGAATTCATGGATATTTCTATGTCAATAGGGATTCTTCAAATGTAAGAGGAGCAAAAAGCCTCAGTGAGATCAAAGACGAGAATGTGGCCCTAATTAGGACATAAAGAACTATAAAACCCTATTCTTTTGTCCTCTTTACATTGATACTACACATGTGAATAGCATCAGAAAACTAGCAAGCTCAGCCAAGAGCAGCCAGAGCACTTTTGTCATATGTGCAAATAGGATACTCTTAATTTCTAATCTAGAAGGATAAGAAATGCACTAAGTCTCTCTCTGCTCAAGAAAGCATCAGAACAGGTTTCAGTTTGCCATCAAATGTTTTTGTAAATTAAAGAGCTATAAAATATTGCAAAAACAGTTACCCTCGAACCTCATCTGCTATATGTAATGTAACTTCAAAAAAAAGTGAGCACGGGCTTTAGAAATATTGTACAGCTGATAGTGTACAGCTGCCTATTTTAAGGGAAAAATATTTCTTCTTATTATATGAAGTAATTAAGTCTCCCATAAATAAAGTCAAAGCATTATTAAACTTACTCTAATTTAAAGTCTTTATATTTTAGATAAAGCTTTCATCCAGAGCAGGGAAAAAACCCCAAGACAAGTCGAGAAAAGATTTCCAAAGTGTTACCTTCTCCTCTGGCAGACTGGCTGGCAGATTTAGATCTTTGACATTTGGAAACTCTGGCAGTAATGTTCCCAGTTTGGACCGTGGTGAATACGCCACTGTCTGTTTGGTTACTTCTTTTTTTCCCGTTTCGTTGACCCAGGCTGCTCCTTTTTTAGAATACATCACATCATAATACTGGGAGTTTTCTTTCACTGCAATTCCATAATAATGGTACCTGATACACAAAGATGCATATTTTGTAAAGCAGATTGTTTGAAATTTTTTTTTAAGAAGATATAGGGGTAAGATAAACTGATAATGCTAATGATTTCTACAGCAAAACAGACTGTGCGATAGTTTATGTATTATTAACAAGCATTGATTCAGTAGCAGAACATTGCCGTAATATATCGGGCTTCCAATTTTCATTCCTTCTGGTAAAAGTAGCTCTCTTCAGAGCTAATCAAACTGACTCTGTTGCAAGGCGGGAAAATAATAGACTTCCATTTTTTTTTCTTCTTATGAAAAAAAAAGGCATCCTAAAGCTACTTGTTGGCAGAGCTCTGCTGTGCAGCTGCTCCTTTAGTTTAGCAATATGCAGAGGTACAGACCCTCTGGACTAGCCCTTCTGTTGTTATTTCAGCTCCCTGATTCTCAGCCTGTTGAGGGCTGGTTTGATCCCTGAAAAGCATGAGTCTATTGCAAATGAGTTGATCAGAAATGTTTTGCAAATTGAAAACATTTCAACGAAAAGAGGGGCGGGGGGAGGGAAAGGTTGCACCAGAAAGCAATGAATGGGAGGAAATGTACAGTTCAAAATTATTTGCTTCATAATTTAGCATCAGCGCTAGGCTTAGATCAGCGAGGGATACTACACGACTCTGTATCTCTTTTAGCAGGAATTACACAGCGCGGCTGTGCTATAAAAATGGATTGGTGGCCTTATGGCACAAGTTTGTGCTACAACTTAGCTTTATTTTAGGTGTTAATGGAAACACTGATCCAGTCTAACTCTTGCATCAAAGCAGCAAAGATAATCTTGTTCCTTTCATGTTTTGCTAAACTTTATTTCAATTTCTCAGCTGTGGGCACCACCAACCCATCAGCTAAATTTGTAATGATTACAAAAGGCATCACAAGATTGTATTGCTCATATACTTTTGATTCAGCCTACTTTCCTACAATCTTCCAGTTCTCTTTAGAGCTTATCAAAAGGCTATCAGACCATGATGAGACAGTCTTCTGGGACTCACTACAGTGGCAGGAGAAGTTACCATCCCCGGATATTTTTGTACTCCCCAGTTACTGATTTCAGAGTGCTGCCAGCAGATCTGTTCATTTTAACGGACTCAAGCTTGTTTTAGGAAAAAAAAGCCTTTTACAAAGGTAATCGATTAAATTAGTGAAAGAGTAGCATTTAAGTGATGGTAGTTCAAACTAACTCAGGTGACTTTTTTGTTTGTTTTTTTTTTCACTCACAGATCAGTGCATGTCATAATCTCCAGCAGAAAGTGGTGGCAAAGAGCTGGAAGCTCTTATCTTGTCTACCAGCACAGATGGGCTGAGAGGAGGCCTGAGGAGTTGTAGCAGACTCCTAGTATGTGACTCCCTTGCCATGCCCACAGAGGACATTCCATATTGTCCATTAAAAATAAAAGCCATCTTGAACTGCATACTGAATAATCCAAGTGAGATTTATTAAAACATTAATAAATGACGTGGTGTGAATGGGATTTCCTAGCTTCAATACCTTAGAAAGCCACACTATTGTCTCCAAATCTGCCCATCAGCGCTTAGGCCAAAACGTGTATTCCATGCTAGAAACCAGGCTGCAGATTGGTCCTAACCTGTTACAGCTACCTAATGGAAAGTTTGTGCTCACACTGGGGTTGTAACACCAGCTGTAGAAGTTTGGAATTTTAGCTTGAATGGTAACAACTCTGGCTTGCAGTTTGGTCTCTAGCAGCTGTCATGCATGCACTGCATGTAAGAGCCATAAAGCTCACATACATCCTGTGTGGTATGTCTGGGCTTGGAGAAACCAAAAGGAAATGCTGCAGGGAGCTAGCACCACAAATTGCTGAGGGAAGGAGGAAAAAAAAGAAAAGGTCACAGAAAGCAGGACTGCAAAAGTTCTAGATGGACTGAGAGGGTTGTATAACTTAAATAGGAGTCAGCCTCATATCGAGTTTCCTCTTAAATGAGTTCAAGAAAAAAATGAGTGAAAGCCTGGAAAACGTAGTAGAATTTCACTGTGTTATTTAATTTCTGGTATGTTGCACTTGGCAGTAAACTACATAAAAGATTTTTCCAGCTACCTTCAAAATCATATAGACAGCAACAGTCAAATCAACTCCAAAAATTTTCCAGATAGCTTCCTCTTCCAGTAATTTTACTATCTCACATGGCAAAAACTCACTGGTACAGTTTACAAAGATTCTTTTCCAAGCACTTTTCTGTATTTCTATCAGAAAAATCCCAACTTAATTCAGCAAACAGGGCTTGAAAGTTTGACCTGTATAAGAATAACATGCAGACAACACCATCATTTTTGTGGTAAGTAGTGGAATGCTTTTTACTCTCATGGATCCAGAATCTGCAGCACTCCTTTAAAGGAAGAAGCAAAATTCCCTTCACACCATGTAGTTTCCATCAGCTTAACTAACCTCTCCTGTACATAATTGAAGCGTTTCAAACTACAGTATAGAAATAAATTGGCTTTTGTGTTTAGCTGCCTTCTCATGGCTCACCTGTGGTGGAACTGTTTTTAAGCTCAGTGCAATAGAGAACAGCTGCATGCTTACAGCAATAAATCCAGCTGCAAAAAAAGGAAGCTTCACAACTGATGACCAGGAGCATAGCACCATTGTAGCTATGAACTTTGTAATGTTACAAGGCAGCCGTGCTATAAAAAGACTGAAGAGAGAACAGTGTGAAGTCACATAACCTTAACCACTTCTATGGCCAAATTTCCTTTGGCAGTAGCAGGGAAGTGGCATGAAAATCATACTGGCAGCAATCGGTCAACACAGTTGGTGATAAAGAGACTGAAGTGTTAATGCTGAAAGTAATTTCTTTACATAACACTTAACTGGAATGCAGTCAGATGTTTCTGAAAACAAAACCAGAGCTCAGTTACAGCTGTGCTGGGTCTAGCAAGGAGTGTATTTATTGTAAAGAAGTACAATGTGCATGTAGTGTGTGTGTGTTTATACCTCTCCTCTTCATCAGACCAAATGAGAATGACTCCTCTGTATGCTGTAATCCTTGGGGTGAAAACCACTGACAAAGATGTAGGCATCCTCTTTTGGAGCAGAAGTCGTCGATTTCATACCTACCGAGGCTGTGAAATTTGAGTGAATATGATCTCCCTCACAGGGGTGACCAGGGACTCTCAGGGTCCAAGGATTTTGCGGAGCACAGACAGCATGCTTTACAGAAACCCCTTATTTGCTAAATAGGGAGCAGAACCATTGCAAAGGTGGCATGAGAGGAGTGTATGACCTGAAAGCCCCTCTGACAAGCATGCAGGTTAGGGGGAAAACATGCAAGAAATTAATTCACATTGATTTTTAGCCTCATTGAGAGCCAAGAGACATAGCTTTTGGAGACGCGAGACACCTTCAGTCAGCAGATCAAGAGCATCTTGCTCCTCTGAGAGACTCCTGGAGCTGTGGGAGGAGCTCCAGTTTGGAAATGCAGCAGTGCTCATTCCTTTCATTAAATAGGAAGATAAATAACAAAGTTGTAGCCAATGTCACAGTGATTTGATGGCTGACAGCAGATACTCTCATATGAATGCTTCCATAAAGCAACTTGTGCATGCTTTCACTCTGTCTTTTGGAATGCCCAAAGAATTTCTGTTCAGTGCTAAATCCTGATTCTGTGAGTCTGCACCTGTCATATTTTCCTAATATGCTACTAGACTAGCACAGAATTTGCACCTGAGAGATTTCTGGTAGCTCTGTTATGACTGATGGTATGGTAGCTGTGAATTTACATTTGAGAAGAGATTTCAAATTTTCACTTAACTGCTTAAATATGACTGTTCTAGAAAAGGAAAGCTTAGTTACAAAAATTAGGAGAATCTCAAGATGAAAGAAAGGACATTTGGTCCCATTAAAGAGATACAGCTTGGCATGGACCACTTGTTAGAAGAGCACAGTAAAGTTAATTTTAAAGGCATTTCTTTTAGCATCTTAATTTCTTTTTTTTTTCTTTAAAGAGCAAGTCATTCTAGCTTCAGTACCTAAGTTCAATTCTCATATCATATTTGTTTCTCAGCATTTAGCAATATTGTGTTTCTAGGCTTTGTCTTGAAAGAGAATCTTTACCAGCAGAATTTTGCTAACATGATATCCCAGATTTTCATTGCCCTCTCTACAGTTTTCCACTTGTGATCTACAGAGACTACCATTAGACTGCCCTGTAGGATTCTGTGAAAACTGATCAAGAAAAGCATATATTTATTTATTTATTTAAATTTTTTTAGGGGACTTATGTTTGTCAGAAAAAGATCCAAAGCTCCACTGGAAAAATTTCATGGAGTCCACAAGCAGAAAAAAAGTACAAAAACATCACTATATCCTCTTTAGAAATTGGTAGAATCACACCTTGTCAACAATTTGAAAAAGCCAAATACTCCAGGAAGTACATTGTTCTTTCTGAATCAATTTCTCATTCTGGAATTAGGATGAACTGTTTTCAGGAAGTACCATCTTTTGAGTAAGGCAATAAACTAATTTCTTGATCGCTTAAAGGTATGCTGGATTTCATTACAAAGGAAAAATGATGGTTAAATCCAGGTTTGTGGACAATTTCAATTTAGGCCAATGTATATTCCTACCTAAATTCCAGATAGCAGTCTGCCACTTCTCCTCTAAACTGAAACACGATGTCAATCAGCTGTCATTTCCCAGCCTCTAACAGTAGCTCCATTACTGCTGGATGTGAATGTCCTTTACATTGTGTGAAGTGAGTTGAGATTAAAAACATCGTAGCAATAATATGGAAAACATTGCTGATGAAATTAGACTATGTTTGCAGGACTGTTACTGCCAAATCAATCAGACAAAGCAAAGACTATAATGGAACCTCCTTCAAAGTTGGGTTTAAAGTCCTCAAGTTATTCCCTGATCTTACACTATTAAGTAAAGCCAGAGCCAGATGGGGCCCTGTGTGAGAAGATAATAGTACCATACACTGCTTACTTTGATTGGCCTCTGGTTCCAAGTCTTCTTGTCGTTAGCTGTGGAAACTGTTGTCTTATTATCTGCAAAAAAATAGAACTGATATTAGAGAAAACTGAAAAGCACATTTGCTATTCTTTAATTTAATATAGACTGTTAAGACAGAAAAGCAGAAAAACTGTACTGCAATGTCAGCAAAATACGTGGCAGGAGAAAAAAGCTTTTGATATTTTCCATTACTGAAAGAGGATAAATACATTTTAAAATTCAGTATAATTCTATTAATTATCGTTAGCTAAAACAAAGACTTTCTGAAGTTACTGGAATAGAATACATTTCCTTAAATCTAAGATCCATTCTGCCTCTAAACTAAGGAGGATTGTCCTTAGAATTGGCCTACTCTTTATTTATGTCAGTTTGCAAATTCAACAAACTTGGGTTTGCTGCAAATAGAGGAAACTCTCCTTTTGAGAGTTTTGGAGGCCACAGTTCTTCAAAGACCTTCACAATGCTGCCATTAAACACTCCTTTTTCTAAAAGATGATTCCCTAAAAAGATTTTGGTATTTGACACGGGAACCACTTCTACCAGAGAAGACTCGCTATTGCATTTGTAAAGATAGTTCATAATCAACTTATCCTCTATGGAAGACAAGTGCATCTCAGAAACAGCAGGGTATCAGCAAGAATCTGGACTCTAGTCTGTCAGCAGAGATTAAAAGAACATTGCTACTGTAAAACAAAACCTCTTTCGTGCCAGATGCATTTAAGGAAATGGATTAGTGTCTTCAGCAATCAGAGCCTCTGTCAACCGGGCTAGTCCTGATGAAAAGGCTCTGCTGTAGTTGCTGGAAAGGTGACACTCAGCACCTCACAGGATTGAACCTGATTCTCAGTGTGGTCTGCAGTAGGAGGAAAACTCTTCTGGAAGAACAGTCATGCAAGAAAGACTGCAGTGAGCCTTGAAGATTCACTTGCAAAAGGAATTTCTTCCTTTTTAATTTATAATCTATTTTAATTGTTTTCATTACATAAATGGCTAAATGTTTCCTCTTTGAGGGGGACACCAACTAATATTAAAGGAAAACAGACATACAAGATAGAATAAAACTGCTCAACTAGAAGAAAATGTCAATTAAAAATGATTAAATAATATAGATTTTTTTTCCCCATTAGCCATTTTGCCACCATGATAAATATTTAATCCTGATTGATGACTGAAAGCTCTGGAACACGTATTTGGATCAAAAGGTGTTACATAAATAAAGACATTACAATGTCACATATTTGACCATTTCTTCAGTAATTTATTTATTTTTTTTTAGCAAATGTGCAATCATCTTCCCTTTGTATCATGTAAAAATTGACCCGAGTTGGTTTCCGAGAGCTTTGCGCGATGTGGCTGATGTCAAAAACGCAGCATAGACTCAGAGTCGCTAGGTTGTTCAGCTTTAATTTCTGGAGCAAAACTTCAGCAAACAGTAAAACACTTTTGTGGAGCTGTGAAAGTTCAGCCTAGCTGTTTGATAAATGAGCAGACAGGCAAGCAGCCCTTCTTTCTTTTTTTGTATGGATTCAATGAAGCCTGCCTAAAGAACACCACATGCTGTTCCAGCTACTGATCTAACATTCCGCAACATCTCAGCCTTCCAAATTCCCTTTAATTACACATTAATCCCACCCCTCTCTCTTTCATTTTCTGCAGACAGGGTTGGGGGCTCCACAAGGCTGTGGGAAAAAAAAGCAGTTTGAAGAACTACTTTCTGAGGAAGCTTTTTTTGGGCTAGGGGATTTTTTAATTTTTTTTTTTTTTTTTTTTTTTGTGGCAGTTGTCATTCAGAAAATACCTTTCCTCTCCAAAAATTGATTTTACAGCAGTAGGCTCAAAAGCAAATCTTAATATTAAAGATATTTTTACCCTAGTTGTTCTTTAGGAACAACATGAACCCATATTACTTTCAAAGTCTTTCTAGTAGTGATGAAGTGTTACAATGCACACTGTAAATGCTACTTTATGAACCATATGCCGTGGGAGTTCCTGGGATTTGAATAAATCAGCCAATTTCTACATACCAGGGCAGAGGTGATCAGGAAAACAGAAGAAAAATGGAGCAGTTGATAAGATGATCTTCTTTTCTTTTCTTTGTTTGTTTCTTTTTTAAATCCAATGCATTTTAAACAATAGGATACACCTTTCAGAAAACAGCTTAAAAGTATGTATCACTTAAAATATTCTTTACCAATAATTTACAAAAAAAAAAAAAAGAATAATCTAGCAAATCTTTGGGAAAAAAATCCAAGACTTTTTGATCTAATGCTGCATATGTAAAATATGTATAACATAGCATACTCATGCTTGGGTGTGTATACACAAGAGCATGGCTATTTGTGTTTGGAATAAAAGAAGTCAAATACTCAATGAACTAGCTGTTATATAAATGTTTATTTTCAGCTACATTTATGTGAATCCCTATGCAATGGTATTGCCAAAGACAGTGAGATTTTCCTGAAAGGAGAGAGGAAGCCAGATCAAGTAAGATGAAGTAGAGTTTACTTTGTGCTGAAATCAATGGAAAAAGCAGAGGGTCCAAAATATTTCCGCCTGAAAAGTCACCCCAAGACATACATCATCATTGTGTATCATGTTTATTAACTCCTAAAGATCTACAGAGAAAATGAGTTAATTTTACAGCTGGGTGTAGGGTTCCTATTTGTTGGACATGAAAATTCAGATTTGGATCTGAAAACCAAATCTGATCATTTTCCTTTCATCGCTGCAGAGGGGTTGTGCAAGCAAACGAACCAAGACCAGATCATGCAGTTTGAGCTGCTTTCTGAAAGGAGCCCAGTCCCTGTTCTCACAGCAGCACTGGCTTCTCAACAGATGCGGTGGTAAAAGATCTCATGGGTGGTATCCAAGGGAATGTTGGAGTGAAGGGGCCTTTTACCATTGTCCTTCAATGAAAGTGAAATTCCATTTCATATTTCTCTAAAGTGACCACAAATCCAGCTGCTCTATGAGATCTCCTGAGTAAAAGGGTAAAGGTTTTACATTTTCCAAGTAAAATTCCCCCCAAATTATGTGGCAGATTTGACTGTTAGGCATTATTTTATACTACTTGACATTTTGGTTTTGAAACACATGTAGACCAGGAGTTTCACATACGAGTAACTTCTGTCCCTACCATATTAGATCATTCAATTTCTTTCTCAGTTGTCTTCTACCTCTCTTTCCTCCGAGCCTGGCTCAAGACCTGATCTTGCCTTCTGCCTGTAGAAGATCTTGTATGCCTTTCTTGGTTTTAAAAAATAAATAAATTAAAAACTGCCTTATCTTTTTGCAACTCCATAATTATTTTGTTGATTGCCTGCTGTATACATAAGAGCCAAAGAGAAGTCATAGATTTCTAGGTTGGAAAAGACCTTAGAGATCATCCAGTCCAAGAAGTTATTACATTATAAAACAACATATATATAGTTCACATCTTTTCAGGGGACTAGTATATCCAGGTCAGCATTTGTTTAACCCTTTTTGCAGACAATCCTGATACGTGATTTTAGAAATACTTGTGCAGGTAGAACATAAGGGGATCTTTTTCTTTCTGACAGGCTGGAACCTTTCCACTTTGAATGTACACGGCAGACAAAGTGAATGCAGGAAAGAAAAGTCTTCTCATGTCATTCTCTCACACTGAGATTACAACACTGGCAGTACAACAGACAACATATATTCCACAGATCTTGGAACTGACAGGATTTTTACCCCATTTCAGCTTTTTAAACCTAGTAGAGGTGTCTTAATAAACTTGAATTTCAAGTATCTAGTTACTTGTAATTTTGGTAATTCTTAAAATAATGCAAGAAAAATTAAGTAAGTTACTTGAGCATCCACGCAAAACACAAAGTTTTATAAGCAACAACTAGAAGAATGCACTTCCTCTGTAAAGGTCTGTATTGTAGTCTGCACAACCTATTAGCCTCAGACATGGCAAACTGCAGGAACTGTTCTGTTACCCTCAAATCGCTGCAAATGTGCATTCCTTTGTCCTGATTGCTGCCAGCTGTAATTTCTGCCACTGCATCTCTCCTCACATCTCCAGCACTGTGACATTCCAACAGAAGCAGAGCCAGACCCAGCTTTAAAACGAGGAATGCATTGTCTATTCTGCCTTCATCCCTATGCTGTGACCCATCACTCCTCACTGCATTCACTATCAAACTGTAAACTTTATGTTTCCAAATTATTCCATCTAAATTCTTCTATGATATGAGATGCCAAAACAAATCAGGGAAAAAACAAAACAAAACAAATAAAACCCCAACAGACCATCTTATAAAGCATCTTATGAGTTTGTCTTCAGGCAAACAAATAAGAATGGAAGAAACCAGAGATGTCTGGAATCTTCTGAAGTAATTTTTACCTCCCTCCCTTTGCCAAAACATGAAATTTTGCTCTGGGGGCAATAGGCAGATGATGACTTTGGATGAAAGCGGACTGTATCCTGGGCTGCATCAAAAGAAGTGTGGCCAGCAGGTTGAGAGAAGTGATTCTGCCCCTCTACTCTGCTCTCGTGAGACCCCACCTGGAATACTGCATTCAGCTCCGGGGTCCCCAGCATAAGAAGGACATGGAGCTGTTGGAACAGGTCCGGAAGAGGGCCACAAAGATGATCCGAGAGCTGAAGTACATCTCCTGTGAAGACAGGCTGAGAGAGTTGCGGTTGTTCAACCTGGAGAAGGCTCCAGGGAGACCTTCTAGCAGTCTTCCAGTACCTAAAGGGAGCCTACAAGAAAGCTGGAAAGGGACTTTGGACAAGGGCATGTAGTGATAGGACAAGGCACAATGGCTTTCAACTGAAAAAGGGTAGATCTAAGGAAGGATTTTTTTACAATGAGGGTGGCGAAGCACTGGGATAGGTTGCCCAGATGGATGCCCCATTCGTGGAGGTGATAAAGGCCAGGCTGGATGAGACTTTGAGCAACTGAACCTAGTGGAAAGTGTCCCTGGACAAGCAGGGAGGTTGGAACTAGATCTTTAAGGTCCCTTCCAACCCAAACCATTTTATGATTCTATGAGTTTTAGA